GCTGAGCTAAAGATGATCACCGGTAAACTGAAGCGCTCTTTTAACTTAACCAAACGCATTCTATGAGATAAATCAGATATACATCAAATAAACACAATATTGCAATGTACAATTGCACAAAAGGCTGCAAACGAACAGCGCGCATCTGAAGTGTCTCTGAAGGAAATAATGCATTATTTATCGGCTTTAAGATATCGGCCAAATTTTCTTATCAGGCCGATACCGATAACAGAAAAAATGAGCATTTATCGGCCGATACCGTTATGGTGGCCGATATATCGTGCATCCCTACTATATTCTTTATTTTTTTTTAAGTAAGTCCTTTTATTTTGTAGTATTTTACTTTTTATTTAAATGCTTTATTTCATTGTAAAATTTATTTTATATTTTATTTATTTAAAGTTTTGATTTATTTTTATTTTTTTTGTATTTCATTCATTTAAATGCTTTGTTTTTTTGTTTATTTTTTTTATTTAACTGTTTTATGGGACGGTGGTTATTTTTACCATTTAATATTTATTTTTACCGTTACTATTCTATTAGCATGCAGATTTAAATTTAATAAATATAAATATAATATTTTTAAATTTTTTCTTTTTTTGCTTAGTTACAGACTCATATTTGTTCATATTTTGTTTTTGTGGCTCAATGTGAGGAATATGCTTGAAGGAATACTTTTCATTGGTGTTGTGGTTATAATGTCAGCTTTTATGGACTATTGGCATTGTTTTATTCGATATTTAGCTAGCTTGACATTTTTTTTTTCTTTATTCTCATAAAATATTCTCTTTCAATAGGTTCCTGCCAATCTCTCATCCCGACTTTAAGGTTTCCCTGCCTGAACTCACTCTTCTGCCCAGGTATGCATTTCTACAGCTCTCCATACATTAATTGTACATTAATGTGAGCAAGCAGCATATGGGAATAACTGCACCAAAGTTTGTCTGGGTGTATATTTTCTATTCATTGTTTTGTGGTACATACTTCACTCTTTTTCAGCAAACTGAATGATGCTGACAAGAAGACAGTTGACAAATTGAACTACAAACCTGGAGATGAAGTCATATGCTTTGCATCAAAGGTAGCTTTTTACAGTTTAAGAAAAAGGAAATGTAATATTAAACTGCATGAGCTGTTGGAAGTAATTTTTGCCTTCTCCTCAGTTCTTCAAAGAATCACAATGCTTAGAAGTCCATGTGAAGCCCAACGTCATGGGAACCGTTGAACTGTTAGCCATGATTAACAAACCTAGCGTAAGTCTCTCTACAACTTTGCTTTCCTTGTTTGTAGGGATGGGCGATATACCGGTACACACGATTAGCTGGTAGAAATGTCAACAATCGTCTCTATCACAGTTACACACTCACGTGACATTGCTGTGCTACGTGATCACTAAAACTTATCATTATCAAAAGCAAACAGCTGAGAAAGAAAACACGTATAACAGTATATTGGATCCGGGCAGCTCTTAAAGTGACAGCAGTTTAATATTCCTGCTGTCTGTCATTCATGTTTATCAACCAACAAAAGAGAGAAAATCTCTAACTGCTCTTGCCTGAAGCACTTTTGTAACTTTAATAAGAAGAAATATATATTTAATTTACACAGTGAAGAATATACAGTGTTTTTATACAGATTATTACTTAAAGGGTTAGTTCACCCAAAAATTAAAATTAGCCCATAAATTACTCACCCTCAAGTCATCCTAGGTGTATATGACTTTCTTCTTTCAGGCGAATCCAGTCGGAGTTATATTAAAAATTGTCTTTGATCTTTCAAGCTGTTTCATGGCACTCAGCGGGTGTTGCATGCATCAGTTCAAAAGAAGTTAAATAAAAAGCACCCATCCATAAAAAAAAGTGTCTCACACGGCTCCGGTGGGTGAACAAAGGCCTCCTGTAGCAAATCGATGTGTTTTTGTAAGAAAAATATCCATATTCAAAGCATAATAATCACTTTAATGTAGCTTCCGCTCACTGTTTTAAGCGGAAGCAACTCCGGGCGGATGACGTATGGAGGTCAGCGTTGCGCATGCGCCGCTCAGAAGGGACAAACGTGGAAACGCAGCGGAGAGATCAAAACAAAACACCTGTCACTTATTAGAAGTACAAAACAAGGATTTGTAAAGAAGAATGTCGGAGAATTTCAATATAAGCCAAGAGGAGACTGGTTTTCTTTGCTAAAGTAAGGAAACTTTGCTTCCTTTGCTCCTGTTAACAAACGTTGGTTTTCACGAGACCGACGCATGCGCAACTCCTACGTCATGCTCCCGGAGCTGCTTCTGTGTACAACTGTTGGCGCAAGCTACATTAAAGGGATTATTACATTTTGAATATGGATATTTTTCTTACAAAAACACATCGGTTCGCTACAGGAGGCCTTTGTTCACCCCCCGGAGTGTGAGACACTTTTTTTTTATGGATGGGCGCTTTGTATTTAACAACTTTTGGACTGATGCATGCAACACCCGCTGAGTGGCATTAAACAGCTTGAAAGATCAAAGACAATTTTTAATATAACTCCGACTGGATTCGTCTGAAAGAAGAAAGTCATATACACCTAGGATGACTTGAGGGTGAGTAATTTATGGGCTGATTTTCATTTTTGGGTGAACTAACCCTTTAATACGGTGTATGTATAGTTTCTTATTTGTTCTGTAGTTTTTTTTGTGCAATTGCATGTAATGAATTTCTTATTTAATCGCCGACTGTGATATTGACATTGGTGACAATTATGAAACTTGTATGATATCAAAAATTTTGATATCATGAAGACCTTATTTAAAGCAAAAATAACTATGTTGTATATTGTTACAGTGAAGTAAAATTACTCTTCCCCACCCCTACTTGTTTGTTAAATGCAGTATTTGAAAAGTAATGTTACAATATTGCTTTGCTTATTATAAAAAGTATTTCATTTATATTTAATAAACATGTTACTTATTTGAAAGAGTTAATTTAATGGTGACTTAAATGTTACTTGTAAAAAATATTTTTAAGTCATGCATGTTTTGTTAAATTAATTTCAGAATAAACAAGCTATAATGTTTTCAAATTGTTTTTCCCACAGCAAGCTAAACACCCACAGACGCTTTTTAAACTGGGGCAGACTATTTCTGCAAAGGTTGCTGGTCTTGGTACCAGTAGGCCTTTTCGTCTTTCCCTTTCACTCACAGGTAATACTTGTAGTTTCATCTGCAATCATAACTGTTTTGAAGCATAGCACTATCAATACTGTCAGAGGAGATTTGATGTGACAACATTTCCTAGTTCATATTTTGTCCTCATTATACCAAACGCTGAGTCACACAGCTCTTGATGTCGCACTTCTGCCATCATGACGCATGTGGCGGTCGTCCCTCGAGTCTCTTTAGCATTTCCTGTGTGTGCCGTTGCTGTAGGGATGTACAAGCTGGAGCAAGGGGTGATCACCATGGCGAAGGTTCGGAAAATTGTGCCTCACATGGGACTGTTTCTCCAACTCCCATTTGGGAATTCGGGTTTGGCTTCGGTAATGGATCTCTCTGATGAATTCACAGACAACCCGCTAGAGCCTTACAAGCTGGGCCAACTAGTCCGGTGAGTCATGACCTAGTTGGAATTGTTTATGACGAATGTCTGAAAGGATTTTTCCTGCATAGTAGCATTAAAAAGCTTAAAATGTGAAGTTTGTTTATGTGCGTGTATGTCTTTTATCCAGGTGCTACGTTATTGGGGAGGAAAATGGAAACTTCAACGTTTCATTACGTCCCTCCAGGTACATAATCAAGCATCATTTCAAAATTAGATTAAATTTGGTTGTAGATCGCCATCACTTTTTTTTCTTTAAAACATTCCATTAAATAAATGAATATATCTATTTACTTTGTTTCATTCACAATGCTTATCGTTTCATTTTTTATTTTTTTTTTACATGTATACGTGTTATACCAAGTATACCATGTATATTTTTCATATTTCACCTGTTAAATGTATTTTTTATTTTATTTATTACTGAAGTTTTTATATAATAAACAACTACAAGTACATTACCAAGATAAATATTACTTGACAATAATGTGATAATGACAAAAATAATAACGTCAGTTATGCAAGTAATGATAAAAAATTCTAGCAGTTTTTTACTGAATAGTCAATAAGGTTTTTTTTTTTTTGTAGTTTGGTATCTAATCTAAATGAAAGTTTGCATTTTATTAAACTTTTCTTTTAACAATGTACACAAACAACCAGAGGATGATGCGCTTGACTCCAAAAAATCTCAAAATGTTACCTTATTTTATATTATATTATTATTTTTTATTACTATTTTGTTTTTTACTTTTTGTCTTCTTTCATGGGACATTCAAATTAGGCTTTTGACAATACATTGGGCCATTTAGATATTTTTTTAACAAAAGTGTGAGGCAAAACATGGTTTTTAAACTATATTTACTATTTTGAATGTTATAAAAAAAAAAAAAAAATTGAAATGAACACTGCTGTGGTTTGTGCTCTTTCTATCCTGAGAAGCCAGCAGCAGTGTGATGCGTTGCCTTAAGTAATAAATGGGAGGTCTCAGGTCTGTGTAGGTCTTTGACCCATATCATCTGTTGCTTTCTTCTCAGAATATTGAGAACATCTGGCCTGCATGTGCGTAATTGTGCAGATGATGACCATGATTTTTTTCTGTTGGCTTGTATATTTTGGCCACTGTCTGACAAGTCATTTGAAACTATTAAATAGTTCATAAAACAGACCTGCTCTCATGTGGACAGCTGACAGGCCATTTCCATTTGTATTCATCTTGGAAGCATTACAAATAAATCTTAAGACTTCAGTTTTGCTTTGTTAGATTTGAGTATGACGATTATTTAAAATTTAGCTTGGTCTCATTTAGGGATGCACCGATATGAAAATTTTGGCCGATACCGATAATTCTTTATTTTTGAAAGCCGATAACCGATATGTTGGCCGATAAATCTATATCCAAATTTTTATATACTTTTTGAGAGCCTGATTACAAAAAAGGTCTCATCATTAAAAACCACATCCCAAACACTTCAACATAAGCAGCCTAGTTTGAACGGTATACGTTTTAAAAATAATTTTACTCTCCCATTACCAAATTTAGTCATAAAAAAGTCGTACAAATAAATAAAATATTGCATAAATAATGCAAACAAGTCATTGGACATCATTACACGTGTAAAGAATCAAAATTAATGCACCATAGATCAATAAAATGGAATAGCCTCTGCACGGACAATAATTATATTATTTTAATTACTAAACCATATTGCTGATGAAAATAATAATAGAAAAATACAAGTGGTTGTTATTATTAATAATGTATCAATGATTTTGAAAAAGTAACAAATTAAAACCACTGTTTTAAATAGCAGCCGTTTGAGCTGCACGTGCTGAAGCTGAAGAGCTGAATGAACATGGTAAACTGAAGCGTTTTGCTGGCAGCTTATTTAACTCAAGGAAATGCATCCTGAGATTAATATTAATATAACATAAACATAATATTACAACTTATATATGTACAAAATGATGCAGTTATTGCATGCTATAGTCAGAATGTGCGATCCTGTTGTGGATGCGCTCTTCCCATAACAACGCGCTGAAACACGGCAACTAATCCCAAAGAATTAACAACGTTTTATTGTAATGGTTTGAGCGTCTGCTCCTGTCATCTCCAGACAGCTCCCTCCTCTGGCTGCAGTACATGGCTTTCCATCTGCAGGCCACGCAGATCGAGCAGGCGCGTGCGGTCGGCGAGAGAGCCCTCAAAACCATCTCCTTCAGGTGAAAAAGACTGGAAGCTACGAGAATACTTTTTTGTGCAAAGAAAACAAAAATAACGACTTTATTCCACATTTTCGTCTCTGCTGCGTCACTTGTGGATGCGCTTTCACGACAGTATCATGACGCGAGCGTGTGGCAGCGCCGGCACTGACCCAGATCTGGCGTGATGACTTCATTATGCCGGATCTGGGTCAGCGCCGACACACGCTCGCGTCATGATACTGTCGTGAACGCGCATCCACAAGTGACACGAAAATTTTGAATAAAGTCGTTATTTTAGTTTTCTTTGTGCAAAAAAGTATTCTCATAGCTTCGTAACTTTACAGTTGAATCACACAGACTACTTTGTCGATCATCTTGGTACTTTTCTGGACCTTGAACGTGGTAGTTACCTTGCTGTCTATGGGAGGGTCAGAGAGCCCTCAGATTTCATCAAAAATATCTTAAATTGTGTTCCGAAGATGAACGAAGGTCTTACGGGTTTGGAACATCACGAGGGTGAGTAATTAATGAAAGAATTTAAATTTTTGGGTGGACTAATCCTTTAAGATGTTTGCTATTAAATCAAGTACAACTTGCATGCTGCTACAGGAAACATGTTTGAAAACAGTCATTATTTTTTACAATTCCACTTTGACATTACTTGCAAATAAATGGCAGGCCTTTGATCAAAGTGTTATTGGTGTGTTGCTTTTCCCTGTTCTGGCATGATTAATTTAGTATTTTTTTTAAATGGCATCTGAATGAAATCTCAATTTTGTCACAAGAGTTAACCGGTTTGTTTGTGTGTTTAGAGAGGAGCAGGAGAAGCTGAATGTGTGGGTGGCCATGCTAAATCTGGAGAACATGTACGGGACACAGGAAAGCTTGCAGAAAGTCTTTGAACGGGCCATCCAGTATTGTGAACCTCTTCATGTGTATCAGCAGCTAGCCGAAATTTATGCCAAGTCGGACAAGATCAAAGTAAGCATTATGTCCAGTCATGTGATCTGTGTGGTTGTTAGAAGGGATGCAGTGATATATATTTTGGCTTAAGAGTGGGCGGTCTGACCAAATTTGTTTAGAGTCATTCCGGGGTTTTTTTTATTCTGCAAGGCATTAAATTGACCAAAAGTGACAGTAAAACATATATATTGTTAACAATGTTTTGTATTTTCAATAAATGTTGTTTAGTGTATTCATCATAAAGGATCCTGACATTTTTTATTGCATTTTCACTTAAAATAACTGTTTTCAACATTTATAATAATAATAAGAAATGATGGATCATGTGACACTGAAGACTGGAGTAATGATGCTGAAAATACAGCTTTGCATCACAGCAATAAATCATATTTTAATAGAAAAGTTTTTAAATTGTAGTAGTATTTCACTATAATATGGTTTTTACTGTGTTTTTAATCAAATAACTGCAGCCATGGTGAGCGTGAGACTTTAAAAAAATAATAAAATTTGTTTTAGACCCCAAACTTTTTTCATGTTTAAATATTTAATTACTAAAATAATATTTTATAAATATATGTGTATCAGAACATTACAATGTACCGTGTGAAATGCCTGTAAAATACAGATATTTATTTTGAATTTAAAAAATAAAACCATATATTAACTACTAATTTTGATCGATTGTTGTTGATAGCAAGTTGTTTAGTGGATGAGAACAAATCAGTTGTCAAAATTTGAAACCCTGTATTACATTTTGTATTTTGTGTGTGTAGGAGGCTGAGAATCTTTATAAAAGCATGGTGAAACGCTTCAAACAGGAGAAAGCTGTATATCTGAGTTATGGCAACTTCCTGCTACGACAGCATCAGAGCGACGCTGCAAATGCCCTTCTGCAGAGGGCGCTGCAAAGCCTGTCCAATAAAGAACGTGAGTGCCAGCCACACTTCAGACATGCATACCTAATTCCCACATTTATGCATGCGTTGAGACTCACTAGGAATAGATTCATTCATAATTAGGAATCTGAAAGGCAGTTTGGATGATATTCAGGCCCTGCAGGTTTCCTGTTTACAGCTCATGCATTGTTTCCTTGCTGCCTTTCCAGATGTGGACCTGATTGCCAAATTTGCCCGGTTGGAGTTTCAGTACGGGAACGCTGAGAGAGCCAAATCCATGTTTGACAAGGTCCTGAGTACCTACCCCAAACGCACAGACCTGTGGTCCGTGTTTATAGACCTGATGGTGAAGCACGGCTCTCAGAAGGAAGTGAGGTAAACACAGCCGCAGGGTGATACTAGTCAGAGAGAACTTTTTACTTCATCCAGTCCATATTCTGAATTCTTAAAAGGATAGTTCAGCCAAAAATTAAAAATGTCGTCATTTGCTCACCCTCATGTCGTTCCAAACCTGTACGAGTTTCTTTCTTCGGTTTAGCACAAAAGAAGATACTTTTTAAGACCGTTAGTAACCAAACATTTGACGGTAGCCATTGATTTCCATAGCATGGAAAAAAATACTGTGGAAGTCGATGGCTACCGGCAACTGTTCGGTTACCCACATTCTTCAAAATATCATCTTTTGGGCTTAGCAGAAGAACAAATCTTACAGGTTTGGAACGACTTGAGGGTGAGTAAATGATGACGGGATTTTCATTTTTGGCTGAACTATCCCTTTTGATCAGATCACTTGCAACCAAATCAAACTACTGCATTATTTTGTTTTATTAATTAATATAACAATTATTTATTTGAAAGTTTAAAAATAAGCCCTTATATATCATAATCAATATTATATGTAGAGTAGAATAGACTTGAAATTCTAATCTGAATTCAGATTTCTTGTGTTTTCGCATAATCCAAAAATATTTTGCCATTTCCTCCAGGGAGCTTTTTGATCGTGTGATTCACCTGAGCGTGTCGGTGAAGAAGATCAAGTTCTTCTTTAAGCGTTACCTGGAGTACGAGAAGAAGAACGGCACACCTGAGACCATGCAGGCGGTCAAACAGAAGGCTCTAGAATATGTGGAGTCCAAAGGAGCAGAAGCTGCCAGCTAGAGCCCGTCTATTTTACCTGAAGATTAATAGGATATTTGAGGAGCATCTTTAATCCTCCTACTTT